TTATCGGTACCTTATTTCTTTGTATTACTGATTAATATTCTCGTTTAGATATAACCCATCTTATTTATTCATTCATTGATTGATGGACACTTATAAATAAGGCTACTATAAACATTCACATACAAATGTTTGTGTGGATATATGCTTTTATTTCTCTTGAATAACTACTTAGAAATAGAATTGCTGGATCATTTGGTAATCCCTATAGTTAATTGTTTGAGGAACTACCAAATAGTTTTTCAAAGTGTCTGCACAATTGCATTTCCACCAACAGTGTGTAAGAGTTCCAATTTCTCTATATCCTCAACAACACTTGTTGTTGTCTGCCTTTTCTAAGATGGCTAATTCAGTGGCTGTGACATGGTATTGCATTGTGGTTTTGATTAGCACCTAACGATTAATGACATAAAGCATTTTTTTCACGTGCTTATCAATCATTTGTATATCTTTTTGGAGAACTGTGTATTCAGAGCTCTTACCCAGTTTTCCAGCTTTGATGTTTTCCTTTAAAACACAAAGGTTTTTATTTTTATGAAGTTCAATTTATCTATATATTTCTTTAATTATTTGTGTTCTGGTGTCATAGCTAAGAAACTATTGCCAAATTCAGTGTCACAAAGATTACATCTGTTTTCTTCTGAGAGTTTTAGAATTTTAATTCTTACACGTAGGTTTTTTATTAATTTGAGTTAATGTTTGTATATGGTGTGAGGCAGAGATCCAACTGCATTCTTTTCCATGTGAATATCCAGTTGTTCCAACAACATTTGTTGAAAAGTACATTCTTTCCCTATTGAATTGTCTTGACACCCTTGTTGGAAATCAATTGATCATAGACATGGTAATTTATTTCTAGATTCCCAGTTCTATTTCATTGCTACATATAGCTATCCTTATGCCAGTACCACACTGTCTTGATTATTGTAGCTTTGTAGTGAGTTTTGAAATTGGAAAGTGTGAGTTCTCCAACTTTGTTCTTCTTTTCCAAGATTGTTTTGACTATTAAGGGTCCATTAAATTTCTATATAAAACGTAGGATCAACTTATCCATTTCTGCAAAGAAGCCATCTGGGATTTTGATAGGGCATATATTGAATCTGTACCTCACTTTGTGTAGTATTGCTATCTTAACAAGATTACAACTTCTAACCATGAACACGTCTTTCCATTTGTTTATTTAGGCCTTTAAAATTTTTTTCAACAATGTTTTATAGTGTTCAGAGTTAAGGTTCATACTTCTCTTGTTAAATTTACTCCTGATTGTTTTAATTTTTTAAGCCATTATAAATAAAATTGGTTCCCTATGTTCATATCTTTCAACCTTGCTAAACTTGTTTCTTAGCTCTAAATAGCATTTTTAGTGGATTCCTGGGGATTTTCTAAATACAAATCCGTATGAAAGACCATGGCATCTGCAAATGGAAATAGTTTTACTACTTCCTTTCCAATCCAAGTGACTTCTATTTCTTTTTACTGCCTGACTATTCCTGAATAAACCCCCCAGTATAGAGTTGAAGTGGCAAGAGCAGACATCATTGTTTTGTTTCTGATTTTATGGAGAATCACTTTGGTTTTTAGCATGATATTAGCTAATTCTGGTATTATGAAAGTTCAGCTTAAAAGCATTTTCGACTTAAAAAAGCGAACTGCTTTCTGGCACGGTAACCTGCCCTACATTGGTGTAATACCCAGGGAGACCAAAAACAAATCCTCTACTCTAAAATTTTACAAGTCTCTCATGACCTGTCATGGTAGAGGCCAGACCTCTTCCCTAGCTGTCCCTCTAAAACCTGCTGAGATGCAGCTCGAATAGCCTGACACAGCCCAGTCATTCTCTCTAGACTGGGCTGTCTTGGTGACTGAGAACATCCCTGAGTAGTCAGTAACAGCCTGGCAGGGCTAAGAGGCAGAGCTTCCCTTCGAATACCTCAGGTTCTCATAGCAAGGGTCAACTGGACCCCAAGTTCAGTCATGCTGGAGAGGCCAGACTGCAAGCTTGGTTTCTGGCTCTTCCATCTGTCATGCCAGCATTTGTGACATGCTCAGTCAGGTTCAGGTGTAGGCAGCACACCTAAATTCCACCTGCTGCCTGGGATTAAACCAAACGACCTCCAGACATGAATGAGTTTAGTGCCTGTCCACTTCACATTTGTAATATTTAATGTCTGCATGTGGACTCTGGGTAATTCCTCTATCTATTTGCAAAAGTACTTCCATTTATAGTCAATAGATGTAGCAAAGCAAAATCAGATTTTATTAAAACCATAAAATCAAATGACCTTTTGATAATGAATGAAAGATGAGAAATGATTCCCATGATGATGATGATGTTAACAACAGTCATGGTAGCTAAGACTTACTCTAGTGGTTACATTACGCCATGCACTGTTCTAGATGCTTTTTGTGAGTTAATTAGGAAGCAGAGGCACTACTCCAACTAACTTTTTCCGGTCCAAACCATTAGCCATTGAGCTAGAATTCATGCTTGAATGGTTTGTCA